GGGCTCATGCATCAACTAATCTTGCAATCTGATATCACAAAACAGGCAATCTGATGATATAATCAGCATTTGATCTACTTTCAATGAAGAGAGAAAGCGAATTGCATTGAGTTTATATGTATTTATTATCTTATGGTTTAAGATGTATTTTAAACGTGAGACGACTGGGATAAAAATGTCAGACATTTTATTTCAATGACATGATAGAACAAGATAAAGGTACAACAATTCTAAGTTTTACATGTTTACATGCACATCAGTTGAGTGACTGAAAAATTGGACATTAGTGACCAAAGGCAGGGAGGCTGTAGCGGTAGCTGTCGCTCAGTCCATAGAGACTTGACTTGGGAACCGGTGGCCAGTTCAGGTCCAGCATGGACAGAAGTTGGAGAGGTGCCAGTTCACCTTTCAAGGCACCGAACCCCCAAATTGCTCCCCGGGCATGGCTGCCCACTGTTCCGTGTGTGGTCACTGTGTGGATTGTACTTTTTTAAATTGACTAAGCCATGTTTAAGTTTTAAAACATGTACACACATAGAAACTGTTTTCAGTAATCAGTTAAGTGGATTGTTTTTATATTTCAATTTAAAGGCAGATTATATTTAACTTTTAATTTACTCTGAAAATGTTCTCAATAGCAACTCACAACTGGGGGTCAAAGCTAAATCTATAGTACAATAAGAAATCTTGAAGTGAGAAGAACATGCTAAATCTTTTCAATAAAAATAAATGTAAGAAATCAGGTAAAGAAGTGCACCAAAAGTACATTTGCCTGAATGATTGATTTCAATTAGATAGTTGTAAGAACACATGTTTGCTCTGTCAATCAGTTTTACATCAATATGAAAACTTTATCTCGATTCCAATTCGAGTTTTCCTTAGCCTCTTCATCAACATCTGCTTGATATCCTGAGTCTTAAAACAATAAATAATTGGATTAATGGCAGCGGGAAACAGACTGTACAACAATATCAACAGGATGCGAACATCTAAACTGAAAGAAAATTCAACAATATTAGCTACATAAACAAAACATCTGGGAAGGTAAAAAAGACATGTGATTAATATTTGAGGAGTACAAGTTGATAAGGTTTTCTTGCGGCCAGCCACATTTGAAATTTTTAAGATAACTACAATGATGGAAATGTATGAAAATACGATGAATGCAAGAGGAACCAGAAGACAAATCATGGCCACACACAGAGCAATGACTTTCACGATTATAACATCATCTCCACATGCCTGACTTGTTATAGAAATGTGGTCACAGTAGCACTGAGCAATAACATTTGATTTACAGAACGGCAAAGTTAGGGCATGGAGTACAATAGCTACCATTAAAGGCAGAGGGATGATCCAAGCAAAGCCACAGAGCACAGATATGATGTTGTTTGTGATAAGAACAGGATAACGCAGTGGGATACATATTGCAATAAATCGATCAAGAGCCATGACCAGTAGCATGAAAGAAGTTACTGATCCTAAATAGTGGACAAAGAACATCTGTGTAAAACACCCATTAAATGAAATAATGTTATCACCAAACCAGTATTTTGATATAATCTTTGGAAGAGTCGCGGTGCCAAATGTTAAATCAATCAGTGCCAGGTGACAAAAGACCACATAGGTCGGTTTCTGAAGTGACTTCTCACAGAAAACAAATGTTAAAATGAAAATATTCCCTATAGCAATCAATAGGTAGAGGAAAAAAAGCAGAGCTGAAACAGGTGCATAAAACTGCGGTGAAAGTCCCGGGAATCCCAGGATTAAGAAGCTTCTCATCCAAGTAAAATTAGATACCATAATTTGACTTCTCAGAAAAAGAAATGCATGAATTAGAGACCTGCAATGTAAGAGCACAGTTTAAACCTTTAAGATATAAATTGGAGATGACACTATTAACATGCAATATTATCTAAATGAGATAACCAAAATCCAATCATTCAAAATGATGCTCCTATGTTAAAATCACTCATGTAAAAACATGTATATCTCTATAAATGCTCTCCTAAACTGAGCAAGACTAATCTCCAGCTGTGTATCCAAACCTCCATCCAGTGTCTGGATGCCTGGTAATACAGTATCAGCCTTATATGACCTTACATATCCTCACAGGATTATAACATGAATCAAAGAGTCATTTGCTTGTTAGAATTTTGTTCAACTTGAGGGACAAAAAAACAAAGACACCAGACTAACTTCTCACT